AGGAGGAGGAGGAGGAGGAGTAACAAGGACGAGGAGGAGGCGGAGGAGGAGGAGGAGGAGGTGGTGGAGACAGAGGATCACAAGCAGAGGGGGGAGCGAGGAGCGAGGAACGAGGATGAGGAGGGGGATGAGGAGTGAGCAGCGAGGAGAAGGAGGAGGAGGAGCAGGAGGAGGAGAGGAGGAGGCGGAGGAGGAGGAGGAGCAGGAGCGGGAGGAGGAGGAGGAGCCCCTGAGGACAGAGCCCCCCGCGATCCCCTCCGTGAGCGTGTCCAGCAGGGGCAGCAGTCCGGGCAGGAACCGCCTGGCGCGCGAGGAGGAGAAGCGGACACGCACGCACCCACACACGTCTGGTCTGGCGGCGCGACCACGTGCGATCGCGGCTGCAGGCCCCACAATGGAAGCGACGAGGAGGGACGCGAGGGGGGGGGAAGGAGGAGGCGGAGCGGGGCGAGCTCCTCGGACGCCGTGCTCGGCCCAGGAGCGCCTGGCTCTCAGTTGTGATGCTCCCCGCAGCATGCGCCGCACACTTCTACAACAAGGGGGTTCTCACCCGCGCCTCGCGAGGTGAGGCGGCGCTGTGCCCCGAGGCCCTGGCGCGGCACTTCTGCCGAGCCCGACGCCTTCGCCCGGCCTCGGGCCACGGGGCCCTCGCAGGTCGATGCGGCCCGCAGCACGGCGCAGGGAGACGGGGGGGTCCGGCGCTCGGGTCGTGATGATGATGCTGATGATGCTGATAATGATGAAGGTGCCGACGCGCTGGCACATCCGCCGCCTGACCGATCAGCCATGCGAGCCCGGGCTCAAGTGCGTTATGGATTTATCGTCTGGCGCCTCGAGCGGGCGGTCTGGCGGCAGCGACTCCGACTGGGACGCATGAGCAGACTGCTTGAGAAAGTCGTGGGAGGGAGAAACCAAGAACAAGCACGGGGAGGAGCGCAAGCTATCAAAACGCAGAGGAAGACAAGTGGGGGATTGGAAGGTCGTACTTCTTCGCGTCGTCGCATCTCAGGGTGGGTATGGGTGCGGGTGGTCGGAAAACCGAGGGGGGCCCCGTTCGAGCGGGGGCCCGCCTCCGACAGCGCACAGTCCTCCCAGAAGTCCACCCCGACCCAAAAGGGTGTCGTGTAGGGATGGGTGCTGATGTGATGGAAACTCTGCAGGCCTCGCGCGGCAACTTCAGACCCAACTTGCGCCTGATCCACGTCGGGTCACGCAGGAGGAGGAGGAGGAGGAGGAGGAGGAGGAGGAGGAGGAGGAGGAGGAGGAGGAGGAGGAGGAGGAGGAGGAGGAGGAGGAGGAGAAGGAGAAGGGAGGAAGAGGAGGAGAGGAGGAGGAGGAGGAGGAGGAGGAGGAGGAGGAGGAGGAGGAGGGACGGAGGGAGGAGGGGGAGGAGGAGGAGGGGGAGGTTTCACGTTGGATTTACGTGGGGTTCACGTCAAGTTCACGTCGGCCCTACATCGGAACATCCCCGAACGTCGACTTCTAATACCCTGCGGAGCGGACGTGTGGACAAATGGTACGACTCCGGCAAATCCGTGTCGTGCCGATCCCTTCGTTGGTTCATGAATGACACCGTGGGGATCGTTCAACCTTGGAACGATTGGCTGTCTCAGGAACGCCCAATCATTCAAAGATGCGCCGGTTCTGGGCCACGGGCGCCGATCAACCTTAAAAACGCCCGCGCTGGGGTCGCCGCCAGTCAGGAGGAGGCGGAAAAGGAGAAGGAGGAGGAGGAGGAGAAGGAGGAGGAGGAGAAGGAGGCGGAGGAGGAGGCGGAGGAGGAGGGAGGGAGGAGGGGGAGGAGGAGGGGAGGAGGAGGAGCAAAAGGAGGAGGAGGAGGAGGAGGAGGAGAGGAGGAGGAGGAGGAGGAGGAGGAAGCGAACCTACCGCACTGGGCTTCGCGGGGGGCACTCACGATTTGCCCAGTACGGTAGGTTCGGCCTCCTCCTCCTCCTTCTCCTCTTCCTCCTCCTCGCTCCTCCTCCCCCTCCTCACCCTCGTTCCTCGCTCCCCCCTCTGCTTGTGATCCTCTTTCTCCACCTCCTCCTCCTCCTCCTCCGCCTCCTCCGCCTCCCCCTCGCTCCTCCTTGTTACCTTGCTCCTCCTCTTCCTCCTCCGCCTCCTCCTCCTCGTCCTCGTCCTCCTCCTCCTCGCGCACGCGCTGACCCCAGCACTATAGCTGATGACGTCGGGCTCCAGCTTCTTCTCCCGCATCTCGCTCAGCAGCGCCAGGGCCCGCTGCCACTGCTCGCCCTTCTCGCACGCGCTGATCCCAGCATTATAGCTGATAGGGCTGACCCGTGGACTACGCCCACTTGCGGGGTGAAGGGGTGCTGCCGCAAGGCGATCAGGATGAATGGCGTCATGTTCGCCTGCCACACATCGCTGAGCGAGGAGACGGAGGAGCGTCTGGACGCTCCACCTGGGGCGCTCAAGGGCTCCCTTGGGATCGGGTCGGGCTTTGTCCGTGCGTTGGGTCCGACCTTCTCGGGGCGTTCCGGGGCCGTCTGGGGGCCCTCTGAGGGGCCCCAGGATCACCAACACGCCTCCAAGATAGCCCCATAATGGCCGCCCGCGCAGAATCGGCGGGACCGATTCTGGGCCACCGCGACGCCGGCCCAGAATCCCACCCGATGCGCCCTGGGCGGCTGCGCGCGCTTCCAGGGTCGGCCGAGGCGATTCTGGGCCACCAGAAGAGCGAAACACAGCATGGCCCCAAGATGCCGCGGAGAGGGCTCCAGACCGACAAAAAGGGCGGGGGATTTGGGGGCTCAATCCGGCAGGGAGCGCCAAACAAGCATCAGAGCCCCATGGTGCGCTGGGAGCGGTTTTGGGACCGTCTGTGGCCGTCTTAGGCCGTCTTTTGCTGCTGTTGGTGTTGTATTCGGTGCTTCTTGGGCCTTGATCTTGGGGCCTCTGGGGGTTGTTTAGGAGCCTCTCAGAAATTCTTTTCAGCCTCTTGGAAGCCTCCTGGGGCCCTCTTGGGCTGTCTCGGGTGCCCCTTGGGCCGTGTGGAGGCGGTCCGGGGCCGTCTCGGGGATGTATGGGGCCGTCTTGGGCGTCTCTGGAGCAGTCTGGGCACCTTCTGATGGTCGTCTTTTGCCGTCCTGGGCCGCTCCTGAGGCTGTCTTGGGTACCCCCTGGGCCGCCAGGGGCGCCTGAGGAGCCGTCCTGGGGCCATCTTGGGCCTCTGTATGGCCGTCTTGGGCGCTATGAAGGGAGCAAGCCCAGGAACTGCCAAAATGCACGTTTTCCCAAGGGAATGGGACGATTTGTTGGTGTTGGGGCTCTCTTGGGGGTCGTCGTGGAGCCCACTTGGAACGTTTTGGAAGCCTCTTGGGCCGTCTGGAGGCCATCTGAGGTGTTGTCGGGGCCGTCAGGGGGTTGCCTGGGATCGCCCTGGGCGTCTCTGGAGCAGTCTGGGCACCGTCCGGGGGTCGTTTTTCGCCGTCCTGGGCCGCTCTTGAGGCTGTCTTGGGTACCCCGTGGGCCGCCAGGGGCGCCTCAGGCCGTCCTGGGGCCATCTTGGGACCCGTTATGGCCGTCTTGGATGTATGAAGAGGTCCGGGAACTGCCAAAATGCACGTCGTCCCACGGCAATCGGACGATTTGTTGGTGTCGGGGATCTCTTGGGGGTCGTCGTGGAGCCCACTTGCAGCGTTTTGGAAGCCTCTTGGACCGTCTTCGGCCCCTTGGGGCCTCTTGGGGGCCTGTTTGAGCCTCCTGGCGCCCTCTCGGGGCGGAATGCTAGGATTTTCGGTCCGTGGTCCCCCTCTTGGCCCCCTCTTGGGCCTGTCTTCGGGCCATCCTTCCAAAACTGTCGTAAAGCGGATGATTTTGACGCCCAAAACCGTCCAAAACCTCCTGAGGCGGTCCCCTCGTCCGCCGCCCTCTCTTCGAAGCAGTTTTGAAGCCCCGTGGCACCTCTTGGGGACCTCTTTTGGGCTCCTGGGGGCCTCTTGGGCCTCTCTGGGCTCGTCTATCGCGCTCCTTGGGCTGTCTTGGGGCCCCCTGGGGCCTTCTTGGGCGGTTCTCGGGCCGTCTTGGAGCCATCTTGGGCCGCTCTTCGAGCCATCTTGGGGTCCCGTTGGCCTGTCTTGGGCGCCTCTGGGGCCGTCCTGGGGCCGCCTTGGACCGTCTTGGGGCCCTCTTGGACCGTCTTGGGGTCCTCTTGGGGACCTCGTGGGCCGCCTTGGAGCGGTCTTGGATGCCTCTGGGGGGGTTTCGGAGCGTCGGGAAGCCGAAAAAGCGAGGAAGTAAAAAACATCGGAAAAACCAATGACAATCAACGATATGGGCCTCTCGGGGCTCTCTGGGGAGGCCTCTTGGGAGGCCTATTGGGCCGTCTTGGGGAGCTCTTGGGCCGTCTTGGGCCAATCTCGGGCGTCTTGGCCGGATCATTGCTCGTCTCGGGGCCCTCTTGGGCCGCCTTCGGGGCATCTTGAGCGGCTCGGAGCCGTCTTGGAGCGGCTCGGACCCGTCTTTGGGCCGTCGGGGCGGCCTCTGGAGCGTCTCGGAGCCGTTTGCGGGCATTTGACGCTGTTTCCTTCCGGCACGCGGTTCCTCCGGCCATATAGTAAAGACTAGGGCTGACCCGTGGACTCCGTCCACGCATATTTCTGGAATGGTTCTCGGAGGAACGGCGCAGATTGCACCGAAAATCTACAAACACGGCGGCGACTCGGGCGGCGGCAGCGAGACCGCGCCTTCGTGTCCGAGCTTTTGCAGCGCTCCAGCAGCTTGGCCCTGGCGCACTGCTCGTTCACCCCCCTCCTATTGAGGGCAGTTTCGAAGTCTCTCGGGGATGTGCGTCGAAGTCGAAGCCCATCTGAGGCGTCTCAGGAGCGCCTGGGGAAGGGCTCGGGAGGCCATCGGGGAAAGCCACCGAAAGCGCCGGGGAGCGCAAGGATCTACAGGGAGGGCCCAAGAGAGCTTCAAGAACATTTGAAATTCTGTAAAATCTTTAGAGAAACCGCTGTTGGGTCGGCCATCACCTCCGGGCGCGCCTTGATGGTGCGATCCAGTCGCATCGCCGCCAACGGGGAAGTTTGTTCGCCAAGTCCCATTCTGCTCGCCCAGAAGGTCTGTGGTCCGAAGAGTGCGGAGAGGTGCCTGGGTCATATCAATTGGCTGCTGTCCCAGGGGTCCAGTCTGGTTGGCCCGAAGAGTTTGCCAAGGCCCCTGGGGGAACAGAATGGCTCAGCATATCGGGCAAAGGGGGGCGGTAGCTGGCCTGTCAGACCCGGCGTTCGTCTTCTGCCCAAGTGGCGCGGGGCCCACGGGCCCCAGGGTTGGCGGCCCGCTGGGTTTCCTCTTGTTCGCCCACAAGGTTGGAGGAGGCTTCCAGGCGAACAGAATGGGGCAGGACAATGAATGTGGGAGACTTGTCGCAAGCTCCCAGCCCCCCCAAGTGTTCGCCTGAAAGGTGTGGGGCCGTGTTGGCTCCCTCAACTTGCCGTCGCTCGGACATCCATTTCCCGTGCATTTTTCGGTTTCGTGCGTGTTTTTTTTTTGCTCGATGGTCCAGGATTTTTGTTTTTGCTCGATGGTCCAGGATGGTCCTCGATGGTTCTCGCCGAGAAAAAATGCACACGTCCGAGCGATGCCATGTCAAAGGGCCGTCTTGGAGCCGTCTAGGCCCGTCTTGAGGGCGCCGTTTGCCGTGATGGGGCCGTCTTGGTCCGTCGTGGGCCCCTCAGGGGCGCGTCCGTAGGCCGTCCTGGGCCCATCGGGGTCCTTATTGGCACTATCTTGGGGCTGTCTTGGAGCCGTCTGGGGCCTTGAGGGGGCCACCTTGGGCCCCTCCTGTGCGCCTCCTTGGGCCGTCCTGGGCCCACCAGGGGCCGCATTGGCACCCTCTTGGGGCTGTGTTGGAGCAGTCTTGAGCCGTCGCAGCGCGCCTTGGGTTGTGCTGGGGTCGTCTTGGCCCGTCTTGGGGCCTTCCTGGGCGTGTCCTCGGACTCTCCTGGGACTTTCTAGGGCCTCTTGGTGCATAGGACCGCCGAAATGGCGGGAAACGCAAAGGCTGTAACAATAAACAATGGAAAATAAACGATTTTTGCAAGATGGGGCTCTCTTGCCATCTTAGCCCGTCTTGAGGCCTCGACTGGGCGCCTCCTTGGGCCGCCCTGGGCCCATCTGTGGCCGTGTTGGCACCCTCCTGGGACCGTCTTGGAGTCGTCTTGGGCCGTCTTGAACGTGCCTTGGGCCGTGCTGGGCCCGTCTGGGGCCGTGTTGGCACCCTCGTGGAGCCGTCTTGGAGCCGTCTTGGGCCGTCTTCAGCGCGCCTTGGGCCATGCTGGGGCGGTCTTGGCCCGTCTTGGGGCCCTCCTGGGAGCCTCCTGGGGGCGTTTTGGATCCTTTTGGGGCGGCAAGCGGGAAATCTTTGGAGAAGCCTAGGACAACAAACGATTTTGACCTCTCGGGACCCTCTTGTGAGGCCTTTTGGAGGCCTCTCGGAGCGCCTTGGCGCTCACTTGGGTCGTGTCGTGCCCATTTGAGGGGCCTCGTGGACGCTCTGTGGGGCTTCCCGGAGCGTGCAAGGACCGTCTGGGGCCCTCATGGCGCCGTGTGGGGCCCTCATGGCGCCATCTGGGGAGCCTCCAAGGGTCCTGGAGCGCTCCGGGGCGCTCTGGACCGCTCCCCAAAAGACAAGCATGCAAGGGCCCCAGAGCGTTGAACACAGCTCTTGTGGGCATGCGGTCCGGCCCTCGCCTCTCGTCAGGCCCCCCTCTCTTAGAGGCAAGGTGGAAGCCACTTAGGGCCTCTTGGGGGCCGTTTGGGGGACTCCTTCCGGCCTCCCGGGAATCCCTTGGGTCCCCCTTGGGCCGTCTTAAGTGCCTCTTGGGCTGTCTTGGGGCCGTGTGGGGCCGCCTTGGGCCGTTATTGACCGCTCTTTGGGCTGTCTTGGTTGCCTCTTGGGCCGTCTGGGGCGTCTCTGGAGCCGTCGCGGGCCCGCCTCGGGCCGTTTGGGGGCCCTCCCGGGGTGCTCTGGGGGCGTCTTGGGGCGATCGGGAAGGCCTGTATGGCCGTCTTGGGCGCGGTGAAGACGAAAAGAGCGAGCATATCAAAAATGCACGCTTTTCGAAGGGAAGGGGCCAATTCATGCCTCTTGGGTCCCTCCCGGGGGGTCCTCCTGGGCCGGGAGCCTCCTGGCCTGCCTTGGAGGGGGGCCGACCTGGGGCTCGGTTGGGCCCCCCTTGGTCTGTCCGGGCGCCCTCGTGGGCGTTTCTGAACCGTCTCGGAGCGGCCTGGGGGCTCGCAGGGCGGCCTGGAGAGCATGGCGGACACTTC